GGGGTACCAACCTGGAAAATATTGTAATTGTCTACCAATGTTTACTTGACGATTATAATTATATAATATCCATTAAAGCTTAATAATGTATTTCCGTTTGAATTTGTGCAGTATTGCATCACTCAAAAGAAAACTAATACCTGTTTCATTCAGAGACATATAACATTATTTTTATGTATAATTAACTCCATTTGCCGAAGTCAAATGTAAGAAAGCAGTATTGCAATATTATACAATTACAGCGTACAAAAAACATAAAAACGCTCATCTCACGGTTATTTACATAGTGTTATTTTGACAGAAAAAGTAAAGCAAAGCAATATATAAAAAGAAGTTATCCGTGCACATTCAGTGAGCGTGCTCGTCGGAAGACTTGCGGGGTCCCGGGGTCAGATCCCGCGGGAGCTTTTTACTTCGAACATTCTTTACAAGATTTATAGATGTCGCCTCAACGTCCGATGGGAGCTGTAATTAGGCGACTCTGCTTCATTAAAATACTTCTATTTGTCTGCCTGACAACCAACAGTGATTTGTTTACACGCCTTTGTTCTTTCCCTGTCGCGCCCCATTATTTTTCGACGCTCAAATAGATTTTTTTACAATTTTTCGACAAATTCATTCTCAAAGGTGTGCCCACATGTTAAAAAATGTGGAGGGAGTTTTGTTTGGAAATAAACACCCTTGAGACTGTTGTTTCACCTGAAACGAAGGGAGACATTGAATATTTTGTATTAATTTTCAAACAAGGATTACTTAGATTATCTACTTCATTTCTGGCAAATTAATTCGTAAAGTACAATGTACTCGTAAATTATCACGAATCCAGAAACCTTCTTCAGTAAGCCTCGGACTAATGGATGCTAAAAATTTAACACCACCGATAATCCCTTTACAAAAAGATCTCAAACAAATCAGCAATCATACTTATGTTGTATTATGTTTTTGAAAATGGACAAAAAAACAAAAAATCATTAACGATCTAATGTCAGTGTTGACCTCCGGACAAGATCTGCGACCTTGAACCTTCGCAACACGCAATTCGTTTCTAAATTGATTGCCACTCACTGTGAACAACAAAAAACAACCGCCACTTCGTAAAGTCGTAACAATACAATTTGGCAATTTATCCCTTTATCTAAAACTGGCTGTGGCTCGTGACTTCGTGCAGTTGAAATTTAAAAATACAGTCTATGTTAATCAACGATAACATGGCTTTTTAATGGTGAAAGAATTTTTGAAATCGGCTCAGTACTCTTTGAGTTATTTCAATACATACGAAAATACAAATCCTTCCCTTTTTATAATATTAGTAAAGACCAGTCTAAGGCAGAGACTTCGTTAAAATTCCAGTAATAATTAAATAGCCATTACTCAGTGACAGCTTTCTGCAAAATAAATTTTAAGTTAGTTATTTGGTTAAATATAAAAATACAAATTATCCTCTTCAGAATTAGTATAGAAGAAAGTACAACAGTTATAGGCGCGTAATACCTCAATTTTTGATAATATTTATAAAAGCTCCAAATCTTCAAATCGATTTAAGATGCATCTGTGCGAAAACATTTTCATCTCTGTTTTACTTTTTAAAGAAACAGAAACAGCAGAATATACTTTTGTACGTTTTGAACATACGACATTTAAAAAGCTCAATTGTTAATTAACATACAGTTAAGGTAAAGTTACTTTCGTTATTAAAGTCATGTGCTACATTATATACTAGCTGTTCCCGTGCGGCTTCATCCGCATGAAATTATGAGAATTTTATTTTATTGTTTACATTTGTCAAATTATCAATAGCAAATGTCAAACTGACATGACATGACAAACCTTGGCAATCTTGTTTCCTTTATTTGGCAGCAACATATGGTCTCTTTCCCACGTAAGGGATTTTATTCAAAATATTTACCCCCTAAGTCTATTGGCATGAAAATATATAGCCTATAGCGTGACGCAATTGTAGGGTTTCTTTATTAAAAAAAGTATTATTCAAAAATATGCAGTGATTGCTGACATCTTAGGCTACAAAGAAGTGTGTGTTTACGCTTTATTATAATAGTATAGATGTGATGCCAAAGTTTGCAATAAAGTGACACAATATAAGCTCTGTGTGAGAATACAGCGGTCAGCGGTCATGAGCTGACCGCATTTAAAATAATTGCTACAACCCACCAACGCCACGACCAATTCGTGCGCCTAAATAACTACGTCACGAAATCTGAAATTACAAATATGTGTTGTAATAGTATATACGTCTAATCCGTAAATGCACGAATTTGTGTCACGTCTTCTTATGTCCTTAGTGCAAAGCGCAGAATACTGTAGTCACTATGATGAACAGCAGTCAGAATCACAGTAATAGTCAATGAAATGGTCAAATAATCGTGCGACTGATGACCCCGAGGTACAGCGGTCGCTCGCGTGCCTCCCCGCGCACTCGCTGCCCGCGACTCTATTGTTAAATTGCCCAATCGAACCGATAGCTTTGTGAACTGACCGTTATATGTCACATTACAACTTGCAAATTACGATTACAGTGTTAAAATCAGTTTTAAAACCTCTTTATCTTTAGTATTTCAGAATGTAAAATAAAATAGCTATTTAACATTTTATCTGTATAAATATGTACAGTTCTGTTACGTTATAATTTGCTGTACAAACCGTTACCTGCGACTTTTGGACAATAAAACAACAAATCACTTCTTTGTTGTAAGTAAAAATTTTCTGATATCCACGAAATCTATATGAAAAATCTTAGTAAGTTATGGGTTAATTTGTCCTATTGATTGACTACACGTTTCATAGGTACCATACTCTAAAAGTCCAAATCAATAAAAGTTTCAAAATGAACGCAGACTATCGACGTGCATCGAAATTACCGAATTAATTATATTTTATTAAAAGCCCGATAAAGTTAACGTACACTGTTTTACATTTGAAATTTAATTAAAAGGAAAATTATCAAAGATAAGTGGAAAAGGATATTGCCCAAGCGATGAAATAAAAACGAGCGAATTATATGCATTTTATGCAGCCAGTACCTATCGAATGACTCGATTAGACAAAAAAATCGATTACGGATGTAACACAACACCTTTTGTTCACTTAACGGTTTAATTTATTGTACGGAGATAAAGTTTCTTTTCGAAAATTCAAACATAATTAGGCGCTGCTCAGTTAATTGGGTGACATCGAATCTTTAAAGAGTATAAGATAAGTGTCGAGTGAAATTGTATCAAGCAGTCAATTATCTAAATAATTACATGGAAAATATCTTCGACTTTCAAGTATAACTTAGTTAAACTCCCAATACTGTTACGACATAGATATCACGTCGATCTGATTCAAAATGTCGTCGGTCAATAACGTCGGCAATCTGTTTCAGTTAAAGAGCTTTTAACATTACTGATATGAAAAAGTGCTAATTTATGTTTGTAATCTTTTATCCTTCGGTCTCTTTTCTATACCTTTAAACAAACAAAACGACAAAGATTTGAATGCTATAGTTTTTTTTTTAAATATAACCTCCGTTTACTGTAAGTAGTCGCGAGATATCTATAGTACGTAATATTAGCAAAACTGAAATCTTGTTTTCGACGTTACTAAGCATTAAAAGTGGATTTTATTAAAACTACTAAACTGCCATGTTCGTTGTAATCCTACGATTTTAGTATTCCGATTTTAAAAACAAAATACACCAAAAACTTTGCAATT